AAAACATGTTTGCTAATACAAAACTGCATGATTTTTCAGATTCAATTACATGGTTATATCAGACAATAAGCAACTATTCATGCCAACCGATAACGATAGGAAAGCCGGTCAGATTCTTGGTTACAAAGAAGTTGTTTGGTTACAAAGGAGAGGTATTGTGTTAATTAATCGAGTAATTAAATTGCAATTTTAGTGTTGTATGTTTCACTACCCTAACTTTTTCGTCCTCTTCAAATTGTGTTTTTTATTTTCGTCCCGTATGTTTGCAAAAAGTTTACAAAGAAGTCATTTTCATACATAAGGGACGAAATTGAAACATTTTCTTGCAAAAATATAAAGGACATTTTTGTTGCGAAAATGACATTTTGTAACCTTTTTGTAGACGAAAATAGAAAATGCAATTCAAAGAGGACAAAAAAGTTAGAGTAATAAAACATACAGGACTAAAAATGCAATTTACTCTAATTAATGCGACATTTAGATAAACAAATCAAGTACTAACGAAAAAAAAAAAAACGGATCGTCAGTTATTTATAATATGCATGATTCTGAATTTTGTGCATGAAAACAAAAAACAGGTCGATGACAAGTATCAATACTCGTGTGATAACAAGGATAGTCGTGTCCACGGATGGATTAGCTCAAACCCGAAAGTTGGATTTTGGGTGACTACGCCAAGTGACGAGTTCAGAGTTGGTGGGCCCGTCAAGCCTGACCTCACGTCACATGCGGGCCCAACTTCACTAGCCGTAAGTGCAATTAAAGCCTACAACAAAGTCTACTCATTTGTCAAGTCATAATCGACATTATTCATTTTATTTCAATGTTTTGGTTTTTTGTTCAATATAGATACTCTTTAGTGACCATTACGCGGGCCCCACATTGGAGTTAAATTACGCAACGGTGAGCCTTGGAAGAAAGTTTTCGGGCCCGTTTTCGTATACCTTTATAACGCTTATCCCGACAATAAATCGAGTGCACTTTGGGAGGATGCTAAGAGACAGGCCAGTCACCATTAATAATATATTCTTGTTGCAAATTAAATCACACTAAAAAGATTCTTTGTGTATTTAATTATTTATTCAGTGTTTTTTTTTATTACTTTATCAGACGTCGGAAGAGATCGAAATATGGCCGTACGATTTTCCAGAGTCGAAAGATTTCCCACGTGGCAATCAACATGGGACCATAACTGGTCGATTAATGGTTCATGACTAGGACTGCACACGAACCGAGCAGCTCGCGAGCCGCTCGCGAGCGCTCGAGTCAAAGCTCGGCTCGAGCTCGAGTTTGAACGAACTCGAGTCGAGCTCGAGCTCAAATTTTACCTTGTCGAGCGGTTCGCGAGCGGCTCGAGATTATGTTAAATTACAAAAATACCCCTTGTATATATATGTATCTTATTATTAATGTATGTACTTAATGGTAATTTTACATATTTACTTGAAAATTTTCGAACAGAACTCGAGCCGAGCTCGAGCATCATGAAATCGAGTCGAGCTCGAGCTACTGTATTTGTTTGTCGAGTCGAGCTCGAGCATCAAAAATCGAGCTCGACGAGCTCGAGCTCGAGCTCGAGCAGCTAAAAAAAAGATATCAATCCTGCTCGATAAGGCCAATGCCCGACTCGGCTCGGCTCGTTTGCAGCCCTATTCATGACAAGTACATTAATAATCGGGAGCTTTTACCGGCAAAATTTGCTTATGTGGGGTTAGCTCAACCTGGAAATGTAGGGTCCTGGCAAGCTGATTCCAAGGTTTTATTATACATCTTCCTTACAACATAGTTAAACTTGTGAAGATTAACATAAATTTATATAATTAATGATGCTATTAATTATTTCATATTGGCAGGGGTACCAATTTTGGACACAAGCTAATGAAACAGGGCATTTCACGATAAACGGTGTTCGAGCAGAGACTTATAATTTGTATGCTTGGGTGTCGGGAGTCATCGAAGACTACAAGCATGATGATAACGTTATAATTCGACCAGGTTTCGTAAATAAAAAAAAAACGCGATAGTTCGTTTTTTTGGCTAGCAAAAATGTCACTTTATTTAAGTTGTACAATTTAGACACCAAATTTATTCATTTGATTTTTATTTTTTTTTTACAGGAAGCAAAATCGAAATAGGGGAACTTGTATACAATCCTCCGAGAAGTGGGCCCATGTTATGGGAAATCGGGATTCCTGATCGTACGGCAGCAGAGTTTTACGTGCCTGATCCTGCTCCAGGCCTTGTGAATAAGTTGTTTATAAACCATACCGAAAAGTAATGATCAAAATTTTGAAAAAAAAAATGGTTAACTTAGTTGATACTGATAAGTGAAAAGTATTTGGATTCAGGTATAGGCAATATGGTTTATGGGATAGGTATATAGATTTATATCCTACTCAAGATCTGATTTACACAGTTGGGGTCAGTGACTATAGTAAAGATTGGTTCTTCGCGCACGTAAATAGGTAAAAAATAAAATAACCTCTTTTCGTGTCTATTTAATGAACCGGCTTATCGATGAAATTCATCTAATTCGCAGTTGTGATTTTCATTTTTT